GTCATACACTGCTGGGATATACAACTGCTGAAATACACAACTGTAATATACAACTGCTGAAATACACAACTAATATACAACTGCTTAAATACACAACTGAAATATACAACTGACACATATTACTGAAACTTATATAACTGAAATGTACAATCGAAATCTACACAACTGAAATACATCGCTGAAACCTTCAACAAATATACATAGGGGGAAAGTACAACTAGAACAGACAATAGAATTTGTCCACCATGGGTAGATAATAGCCTAATACCCACAAGAAGCACGGAGTCATGTCACCAGGATTGTACCTTGACCTACTAACAACAGGTCTACATGACCTCAAATTACTATTTTCAAGGGTCCTTACAATAAAATGAGGTTCATGCAAGTAATGAAACATGCCGCATCCTGAATGATTTCATTGTAATTTTAATCACAGGAACTTATTAAGAATTTGGTAAAAAAAGTGACATTGTCTCTTTGAATGCAACAATCATCAGTCCGGAATCCATTCTATACACGTTTGTGTCACGACTAACACCTTGAGTTACAATTATAATGTGCCGTGGGTACAGTTAACTATCACCAGTATATCTGTCATTTAACAAAAACGATAATCTGTCATCAGCTCTGAAATACCTATGTGAACCTTGATCACCAAGTTTTAAGAATATTTGTCAGTAAAGGTAAAATATGACAATTGGAAATTGACAACAACAGAATAGCAAAAGCCAGTGAAAGTAAGCTATGGAAGGTCGTGAATGTAATGTCAATCTGTGCAATAACTGTTGACGACCTGGAAGAGTCGAATCTTGTCACTTTACATTTACGGTAGATGTAATAAAAGTTTATGGCAGCTATTAGCTAAACTTAGAAATCTGACTGGCTGAAGTATCAGACTGTAATGGCTGTGTAAACACCAAATAACACACAGTAGTTAAGGTTGTTGTACCGATTTCAGATAGTCCATCGTCAATTACAGTAGCACATTTCAAAGCAGGAAATAACAGAGACTTGTGTAATCAAGCAGCATTTTCCTGCACAATTTGTGCCGTGAGACCACCAGAGAATGAGCCGGTTAACAATTGTAACAAGAAAAGTCTAAAGGCAAGCAATGAGCCTTGACCGCTTGTCTGAACAAAGACCATTTGTATCAATTATTCACGACCACTCAGACATGAAACCATTATTATTTTTCTTACGTGGAAAACTGGAATATCGCTGTGTGTAAAAGTTTCAACCATGGGACGCCATAAGTGAATAATTCCTACTGAAACACTTCATCTGCTAGATCATGAATATTCAGCTGACATGATAAGACTAAACCACTAACATTACCAGCATTTAGAGGTCTCAGCAAGGATTTGATTCTCATTCAATATTAACATGGTGCATCCATGTTTGACTGATAGCTTATATCATAGATTATTCAGTATTTCACATTGATCAACGTCCAAGAGAGACACTGTGAGCACATTTCGGAGTGGCCCTGAAACATGACTCCTTGTAGGTACAATATACATGTCAGCTTCTCACCAGTCTGAGAATATTGGCAATGTTGATCCAAAGATCTGTGTATGTTTTGACTGGTGTAAACTTGTGGGGGATACAGGGTTTGACATGATATAAAAATATCCTATAGTGAGCATAATTATTATCCAATCCTACAGTACAGTTTACTTTACCAATTTACAGGACCATTATAATTCCTGCAAGGATTCTTGATATTAATTATCTGGGTTCCACAGCCGTTAGAATCGTCTGTCTTGGCATCAGTGACTAAGACAAGATATACTGGTATGGGATATACTGGTATGGGATATACTGGTATGGGATATACTCACCTACAACCACACACCACAAGTCATAAATATCACGAGGTTATCAAACCACTGTCCAAACAGCTGATAAACATAATACCTCCACTGTGTCGGAGTCCTTCCACACAGCCTCCTGTCTCACAACCAACTACGGTTCTACTGAACATACCACGGATGCCATCTCAACAGTCCGTGTGTGACATCTCCAAAGTCTGGTCACATGGTTTATAGGTAAACATACATAGAATCGGCGTTTGAGTCTTCAAGCAGCAGTTGGGAAAAAACAACCATGATAATCCACTGCATGGTTCCCTAAATTAACATGGACTCCCCAACTGGTTGTTTTGTGCTTGTAAATTTTAATCGTTTCGTTATGGATAAAGTACTGTGTGCGTGTGAGCTCTGACAAACTATACCACTCAATTCTTGCTAGGGATAAGAACTTATTATCAATTTCAGGAACAATCAAAATATTACAAGCCCTCTGTGTATCAATGGTGATGATGTGGAAATTGTAAATGATCATAAATACCTTGGCACAATTATAGATAGTAAATTGAATTGGAATGTATATACAGATGCTGAGATTACATTTCCTGTGCAAGTTGTGATCTTTTAACAAAAATGAACATGTATTATCCCTCTGTTATCAATGTTTCGTTGAAAGCGTTTTAACTTTTTCGTTCCAATGTTGGTATGGCCCCTTATCTCAGGTTAACAAATCTCATTTAGAAAATACTGTTTTGATTAAGGATAAAATAGCAGGAGTGAGTGAGTTTGGTTTTACGCCGCTTTTAGCAATATTCCAGCAATATCACAGCCGGACACCAGAAATGGGCTTCACACATTGTATCCATGTATGGAATCAAACCCGTGTCTGCGGCGTGACGAGTGAACGCTTTAACCACTAGGCTACCCCACCGCCCCCTAAAATAGCAGGAGTTTCCTTAGTGTAACAATCTGTTGTTGTTGTATCTTTATGACAAAAGAGTTTTGAAATTATCTATGACAATTTTGTCTAATCCAGATCATGTGTTACACAGTGAATATGTCAAGCTCCCTTCTGGAAGGAGATATTTAGTACTGCGTTCTAAAACCAATTGAGGTCAAAATACATTCATTCCTTTCAGCATTCGTCTTTTAAATGATCAAAAAGATATGTGTATGGATGTCGAGTGCGCATGTTTTATGCATCATTTGTTACTTGTGGTGTTGCTTGTCCTTTATTGCTTTTGTACAAGAGCTCAGTAATGATGAGAAGTGAATTCCTTTCAAGGTAATAAAGTATTATTATAGTTATTATTATTATTAATCAGAAATGTGATTCCTTTTATATATACAACTGACATACAAGAATCAGTGGGCACATAATGATAATCATATTTGCATTGAAAGTGGAGCAATAAATTTCTTTTAATGGGATTTTGGCAGCCAGTAGAATGTAAATGAACACAATTCACATTCTACCTGTGTCTTGTCCTACCTGATCCTCTGCCACGTGATGAATAAGGTATGCATATCACAACACAAGCCTTCAGTTACTGGCAGGCATGATACATGTCTTCTAGCATCACACTGGTCCACTAGCCCCAGACTACTACATTGTGTGGGGAAGACAAAGTCGAAATACACCGGTGGCTATAATTCTCAACCAGTATTCACTGCTTATATTTTGCTTTGAATTGGAGCTGAATAAAACTGACAGGAACTGTAAACATTCAAACATGTTTCAACTCCTAGTAGCACAATATTTTCACCAATCTGGACTAGACTTCACACATACACACAAATTTCTGAGGCTGCATTCATATACGAGTTTTGTTCGCGTTAGCTGCTAGAAGCAGCTTCAAAAGTGGGTACGATGAAGCAACATATATGATAATAATTGCAACACAACGACAACAGTCAGTCTGACAGGATGCAAGCAAGCTCGCTGGTTGATCTGTGGCTCACTGACATTTAGAACTATCAATGAAGGAAGAGAGTGACCTGGCTGTCCCTCAAAAATCTGTTCTGGAATGAACACAATATATGCATACATGAGGGGTTTCATGTAGGAAGAGAACTCATAACAGTTGAGAAGATTTTCCTGAACAGGCCAGCTGAGATGATACTATGTTGTTTGGCGTCTGCCTTGTGTCTACTCAGACTCCTCTCAATGTGTATGGGTGATATCTCATGGGAAACATCAAGTAAATATGCGATAAGTTCTGATCACATAAAAGGTTTGAAGTTTCTGATTATACAACAATGCAACACATAAAATTGTCCAGAATATTCAAACTACTTCGTCATCAGTTCGGTAAACAAGTTCATGAGGAACTACCAACCATGAAATGTACAAAATAAGATCAAGTAAAGTAGAATAATACATTGGACAGAGTGATGTCATGATTTTACAGTCCGGACAGCGAACGGAGAAGTGTTGTCAACTGCTCATATCAGAATGCTAAACAAAGTGACAAAGTGCATTTAAGTTTATTCAAAACAATGGGCCTGGCAAACTGCTGTGATACAGTGCATGCAACAAATTCTTTACCATTTCGGTCCCAGCTAATTCTAACAACATAATTCAGCATACACTTTTTGTATATTCTTGGTTCTCCTACAGGTGCAGAAGAAATTAGCTCAATGGCTGAGGTACAAATATTTACACTCCTTGCTTAAGTGAAACAAAAATAGATCTTTATCTACCCTTGAAACTCAAAATTGAACAGGATAATGACCCACAGTAGAAATATGTTTTGCCTTTATAAAGTCTAAAAATATCATGCATTATTTAGATGAATACGGTAAAACTAATGCAACAACGTCCTTCTTGAAATAACAGGAGACAGTGTCAAGTTGACCCTCTTAAATTTAGAAAGAATGACTCAAGTCGTCTTATATTTAGCTCAAACCTGTGAAAGAAGTGATGCCTTTCTGTTTTAAATTCATGAACCGATCACAACATGTTCAAAACGTTAAGTTCAACAAGTTGTTAATTACCAAACAAAACTATTTCCACGAAGCTCACCTGTCGAGCTCACGAAATATTTCACACCTGTAAACTGTGTTTCAGGAAGTTGTCGACATCCGATGATGATCGTCACTCCACCCCTCAAGTTTGTTACTCTCTTATTGCCAATTTACACATGATGACTCTGCATACGAAGGAATGTTAAGTACGAATATGATACTTACATTTATATCGACAGTAAAATCCGTGCCATCGAGCAGCATCACAGTGCAAGTCAACACATTCTTTTTCTTGGCGGGGTGACCAAGATCCGTCCTATTTTTGCGCCCCCTTCGGCTTCGTCGCTTGCTCAGAAAACGGAAAAAGGCCGACATATTGCTAGGTCAGTCTCAAACACACACTGGTAACTCCTTAATTAGGCTTCATCACTTCATGGCTACAAATTACAAAATTGCTTTCCCTAAAACCCGCATGATTCACAGGACCCTTTCCAAATCAACCTCACTGTCATCTCCGATATTTTCCACAATGATTTTCCCTAACAACTATTCATTTATACTTCTGTTAATTCGTATCGCCTTCTGTCGGCCATTCATTGCAATGGGCACTGTTTCGCATACTGTTATAGGGACTCATATTTATTTGGGTTTACATAAATGTTTTGCTAGCCTACATCATTTGATCTATTTTACATCATTTTCCGAGAGTGCCTGTCAGCTACCCAAACATGTTTTGTTCAATACTTTTCCTATGATTGACAATATGATTATTAGATTGAATACAGTGAAATGGACTCACTTGTCCTGTAGGCCGACTAATCTATTGACTATTGTAAAATATGCAAGAGTATAAAACATTCAAAGTCTCTACTGGTTTATAAAATAGGAAATTGTTAAATCAATTTGACTATTTGAGCACAACTATTTTGGTATATTGTAATATAATTTTATGTTTTATACTTTATTGAATTGAATGTCTGAAATGAAAATTTCTTTGTAACAGTCGTCCTCGTGGTTTGGTAGACTGTCAGTTTTACCTGAAGTCATGGCGATGCATACTATAGAAATGATCCCTGTTAATATTTAAGCCGGAATATTTACTAACTAAATGTCTTGGGTAGGTCGAATTAAAGAATAATAATTATTATGTGTTTTGTGCTTATAACTCCATGCTCATTTCAAAACGGTGAAAAGTAAATATATACTTTTTGTGTCTTACGTATACATGTATTCTATTCTAATTTCTATGGATCTAGGAAACATGTGTATATCACACAAAATGTGATACAAAAATGTAAGACAAGACAAGACAGACAACCTCCTGTCTCAGTTATGATATGTAATGAGTGCTATGGTAAGTAGAACAATCCAATGTTTACGAAGGAAGTCGGAATATGACGGAACTTTCCAAATACGGAAGAACACCGACCGGAAGTGACCCTTTAAAGGTTATAATGGCGGCGCCCAGGCGAAGCTCATGGAAATAACAGAGACGACGTTCTTGAACAATATCAAAGTAAGAGGAGTTAACTGAAATGGGCTGATTTTTTTTCAACGCATGGTGTAGTCCACATATGGTTTTTGTTGAAATACAGGGTTGAAAATATAGGTAGAATGTAAGAATTTTTACAGACCTTGAAATTGTTGAAAATGAAGGGCCTTAGTTGACATTTTGTCCTTCATATATCAGGAGTATTCACAATAAAAATGATAAAGGTTAGTAGTATAGATCTCATTTCATTTTTGTAAAATCAACTGAAAATTTATGTCAAAGTGTGTCTTCACATGTATCATGTCTATTTTGCTTCAGTATTGAAGACAAGTTTTGTTATGCTGAAAACAACTGAAAGGCTGAATATTTCTCCTTTTCGACATTTTGGATAATTTCAATTTCAGAGATTGTATTCCTATACATTAAGATTGGAATGTCTTTCCTGACATAAAGCAATTTTTGTCCAAAGGTCATGTTTTATGTAATCACAGTTGATAAGTATGATGGGGACTGATAGCAAGTTGTATTTGTTTCTGGATGGTCAGAGTGTGATTGCTTGTTGCACAGAATGGCGTTGCTGGCAGGTGTGCGGAGGAACATGCAGTATATAGCTGCAGTAGGGGCGGCGGTGCTGTATGTGGGGAAGGTGTACCCCCAGGTGTGGGGGATCCGGCGCTACATGGAAGCGGTGCAGCTCTACAAGGATGGGCTTCCGGTGCCACTTGATGCAGACTCAAAGAGAATCGGACAAGAGGTTTGTACAAGCACTCCCTGGAGCTAACCAACAACACTGAGTGGTCAGGCTCCATGACTAGGTTGAGTACTTTCAGACTGCTGGATGATTGCTGTGTGTTGGAATTGAAAAAAAATATCAACAAACAAACAAACAAATTGAAGAAACCTGAAATTTAACTTATCTTCCATTATTGAACTGAAATGGAGATCTCTCACCCAGGGTGTACACATTCATAAACAGATTCCCTAAAGATACCTTCCTCCAGACATTCATAAACAGATTCCCTCAAGATACCTTCCTCCAGACATTCATAAACAGATTCCCTCAAGATACCTTCCACCAGACATTCATGTTGTCTGAGTTCCACATGCTACTGTTGTTCATGGAGACCAATCCTGTCATGAGAATCTCTTGCTGTGACGTATTCATTTATTGCTCTCACCCGTGAAAGATACTGCAGTGTAATATATTTAGGGCAATATTACACTAGTGTAATACTGCTAAACGTATGATGTCATAATGGTTTACTGTTATGACATCACAATGCTAATGCCTCTGTCAACATGGTTTACAGTTATGACATCACAATGCTAATGCCTCTGTCAACATGGTTTACAGTTATGACATCACAATGCTAATGCCTCTGTCAACATGGTTTACAGTTATGACATCACAATGCTAATGCCTCTGTCACAATGGTTTACAGTTATGACATCACAATGCTAATGCCTCTGTCAACATGGTTTACAGTTATGACATCACAATGCTAATGCCTCTGTCAACATGGTTTACAGTTATGACATCACAATGCTAATGCCTCTGTCAAGCGTGGTTTACAGTTATGACATCACAATGCTAATGCCTCTGTCACAATGGTTTACAGTTATGACATCACAATGCTAATGCCTCTGTCAACATGGTTTACAGTTATGACATCACAATGCTAATGCCTCTGTCAACATGGTTTACAGTTATGACATCACAATGCTAATGCCTCTGTCAACATGGTTTACAGTTATGACATCACAATGCTAATGCCTCTGTCACAATGGTTTACAGTTATGACATCACAATGCTAATGCCTCTGTCAACATGGTTTACAGTTATGACATCACAATGCTAATGCCTCTGTCAACATGGTTTACAGTTATGACATCACAATGCTAATGCCTCTGTCAACATGGTTTACAGTTATGACATCACAATGCTAATGCCTCTGTCACAATTGTATCCGCTGGCTGTAGTGAGTACAGAGGCTGACATGCAAGTATTCCTTAGTATTTTATAAAATTTAATCAACTCAAGGAGCTGCACAAGTTAAAGAACATAAAACAGGCAATGATACATTCTTTTGACACAACCTGTCATCCGTTACACCCATAATAGACTAGGCAAGATCTAAAAGTTTGAGATAAATCTAGAAATAATTTTCTGAAACTTACCGGGAATCCTCGTAGTTAAGCCCTGGGCTTAATTTTGAATTTGACCCATTTCATCTAAGAAACATTTTTCCTGAAATTAAGCTCTGGGCTTAAATTCGAGAGGAGGTAAAATATGAGAAAACTTTGTTCTTTTTAACTTTTAATGAAACGAATCTTATTCCATGAACAAATTCAATCATCTTTTCAACATAACTATAATTTGAGAGAACTCTTTTAAAATTCAAACTGTTGCGTTGAAATTAAATGATGATGAAAATGAAACACATTATACAACTCGTCACTGAGCTTTCATCATCTGGTCCGCATCTGTCAATCATCATCTTCTGAACTGGAATCCTCGAAAGGGTCGTCACTGATCACAATTTGCTTTTATCAGTTGGAATATGTCCGACAATAACGTTCTTACTCTCAACAGCCACTGCATATCAATCAAACGCATTTAAATTGTCACATTGGGTGTCTAAAATGTCACCTGTATTTGGAGGATATGTGAAACCCTCTTACAGCACGAACGGCAGAATATAGATGAAATGATTCCATCAAAAACACGTGTTTTGAACATTTGGAAGGGAGATCACTCTAAAAGTATTTTTAAAATCAAAACCCATGGGCTTAATAACGGCAGGGCTTAAATACGAGGATTCCCGGTAAAACAACCAAATCTGAAATGAATGTACCCTGTAATATATACCTGCCACTCTAAATAGTATATTTGTCTGGCCTCCAACAGTCGATAGTGGCCGTTAACGTTAGGAAGTGGCACTGGCAGTCAAGGCAGGTTGGAGTGTTCCACCTGTACAGATGTATGATTTTGTATGCATCTTTTATTTCTTAATGACTAATAAAAGGAGATATGAAATGAACTGTTGGTGTTTATTTAATTGTATTTATGATCTAGTCAGCCATGTAAGACGGCATATCTGGTCTGGTTAACTATTTATAGATTTCTCTGACAGATCAGCTCCTGGATGTGCGATATCATCCAGCCTTTAGACGCTAGGGACATCACAGCAGCCATGTTCTTCACCGATCATGAAGGTTTCACCACAAACCTGTGTGGTTCGATATATCAGGGTTTTACGCGAATTTTTTTTACTGCGTCCACAGGGACGCACAATATTATTCATTGTACCGATAACACTTCTATGACTTTGCTAAGTTTTTGGTGGTTTCTTTCAGAGCATGATTTCCATCAGTCCACATAATCAATGATTCATTCTGGGCTCTAAAGATATTTATCAAACATGCAATTCTCTACACCATTACTGCACAAGATGCACATTTTGCCTGCAAGGTCCCTTAAAACTAATAATTAGGGTTCCCCTGGGCCCTATGATTGTGAGTCAAGGTTTGTGAGTCAATGCTGACATGTTAAATATATCTATCTATATGTCAACTTTTCCTGCAGTATGTAGGCAGCGTTCGAAACACCTGCCTGCCTGACCGCCCGGGACAGGTTATTTTCAACACGGACTAACAGATTCTTAAATTCACCTGCCCCACGGTCGGGTTGAAATTTAGACATGTATATGAAGATAAGTTTTGGTCAGGCCAGGGAAGTTTTACATGTGGTCTGGCTGAAATGTTTTAGAGTTTCATACCCTGATGTAGGTAATGTTCCCTCTCACTGAACTTCCTTCCCACAAAAACATTCCGAATGTACTTCATTGTCTCAACAAGAGTGTCGTGTGTATGTTGCCTGGTTATCGGCAGGTCTGAGTGACTGGTTTATGGATGTGTTCCCTGGGGAAGAGAGAGACCTCTGTGGGGATGACGGTGGAGTTCAATAGCAAGAAACTGCAGTATAAAACATCAGTGTACATTGACAGTTCATGTGTGTTTTCAGATTCTGAACAAGCTGAACATGGATCCTGTTTCCGAAGCTAGTGTCCGATTCTTCACTGTATACGGACAGAACCTTCTGAGCAAGGGTTCTACCAGTACCAGAGATGGCGCCATCATCGGTATTCCCAACAACTTCACATACAAGTCAACCAGTGAGATTGAAAGAAACAAAATTACCCTGAAAAATGAAGCCATCGACTGGCATTCAGACTCTGGAGCCTCGCTGCTCGAGTCGTTGATTTTCAGTGAAAAGGCGAAACGTTTTGCCATAGCGCGAGAGGTGATATCCATCAACACCTATCATGTTCATACACAAGCCATTCTTCTCTCCGGATTCTTCTCAATCACTTACTGTGCAGGTTTTGTGTTTAACAAAATGACCAATTTTAGCAAGAAGGTGCCAATACCAGCAAGAATGGTTGCCTACAGTTTTATTGGCTGTATTGGGGTGACCTTGTACTTGTTAGGTCTGGACACCTATAATAATTACACAGACAGAAAGATTGAGAAGCGAACAGCATCGCTCAGGAGGGACTATGTGGAGGGGGGAATTGAGTACTACAGCCAGCTGCTGCAGCGGAATGTTGCGCTGCGGTCACTGATGAAGGAGGAAGGACCAAAGATATACACAGCGTACGGAAATACCGTACACACCTGGAGAAGTCCTCACATGCCGCTCTCCGCGAAGGAGAGACCATCTGCTGGCAAAGCTGAAAGATCTTGACCCTGAGAACAAAACTGAGAAGAAATCCTAGTACTTTTAGCATGTTCAATAAATATATGAATTTTATATGAATAAATGTATATGACTTAGGTTGCCTACAGTTTTATTGGAATTTTCGTTGTGTTCTTGTACTTTTTAGGTATGGACAAGAAATTCCTACTTTGTTTGACAATGTTTTTGCATGAGTACTGGTGGAAACATTATTTGATTCACATGACAATAAATGAGTAGTAGATGTGTTTTTTGATAAAGATGTGACCTCCCAAATCAGTCCACTCTTGAAAAGAAAACAGGGCAACTTGACACTTTCTTTTATGTTCAAGTTTCTGAACCCACCACAGAATTACGGAATTACATTTCAATGAGCAGTAAACTCACTCACTCTTATGAAAAAAAGCCAAATTTCACAAAATTATAAGGACATGAAATGCATGTGTATTCACATTCAGTGCAAAGTGGAGGGTTGTTAAAGATAACATCCAGTTTCTGAAATGATTATATTTTACACAAACTTCCAAAGTTATGATAATGAAATATAATGAAAAGGAGCCCAGAGACTTGCCACATATTCGAGACTTGCATGGGTTTTATTGGATAAATGGTTTCAAGGACTGTATGTCAAGCAGCGTTTCAGATTGGCCTCTTGTGGACAGCACAAGTTTGCTGTGCAGAGTTACTTCCCCTTGCCCTGCCAGGATGAGTGGTTTCATATCCCGAAGTCCCAGGTTTGTCGGCAGCCCAGTATCTACAATGCCACCTTGACCATCATACCCTCACAACACTACATTCCACTTGATCTGGAGACATGGTCTGGTTCTTGCTGAGTGAAGCACCAGTAAAATAATTCTTTTCTTTGTAACATATATGATTCTTCTCTGGAACGACCCAGGTTAGAACTGTTCTCCACAAACCCTTGCTTGTAAGAGGCGACAGCCAGGTCGGGTGGTAGCTTGTTAATGCATGCCATTGTCACCCAGTGGCACAAACGGATGCTCATGGTGTCAATCACTGGATTGTCTGGTCCAGTCTCGACTGACGTCATGTTTCTGTGAATCTCCTATCCAGTATCAACAATGGGACATTGAATCAGCAGGCCAAACATCCATCAAATGTACTACAAAACAGAAAAGTACAAAGCATGGCACATCTGTTTTCCACATGCACTAGGCTGTTGTGTTTGGCTGTTTGAATCAAACGTGCTGGTGTGTTCAGCACCCTTGTTTTTCGCTGTTTGGACAATGTTTCATTTTACTCAAACTCAAGGAATATCGAATCAATTGCTCCACTGCATGTTCCAACGTCATTTTAAAGTGCCCGTAAGGCACACAAAAGTTGCATTTACCTTAGAGTATAAATGACCTCACCACGTTTAAGTTTATATATGACTATCAAAATTTAGGATGTACCCATACTTTTTGTTTGTTGTATGACTATCAAATTTTAAGGTGTTCCCATACTTTTTGTTTGTAGTATATGACTATGAAATTTTAAGGTGTTCCCATACTTTTTGTTTGTAGTATATGACTATGAAATTTTAAGGTGTTCCCATACTTTTTGTTTGTAGTATATGACTATGAAATTTTAAGGTGTTCCCATACTTTTTGTTTGTAGTATATGACTATGAAATTTTAAGGTGTTCCCATACTTCTTGTTTGTAGTATATGACTGTCAAATTTAGGGTGTTCCCATACTTTTTGTTTGTTGTATATATTCTTATGCACGTCAATATGTGAACTAAGACTATCAGGCAGCGAAACTTTCTACAGTGTACTGTGTTGTGACGGGTCACCGTCGTCCGGGGACTTACTCAGGGAGGGAACTCAACTGTCTGTACTGGTGTGGGGGTAAGATGAACTGGTGTGAGAGAGTTAATCTGATTAGTCGATTGTTCTCTGGAGGCCATCCTTGTTCCCGTGGAGACGGACCAGCTCCACGGATGTCAGGGCCGTTCGGGAAGGTAACGGGCACCTAGGCAGCAGTCGCACATCCACAGGGGCAAGTTTGATTTTTGATTAGTTGTTTTACGCCACACTCCGCAATATTCCAGCTATATAGTGACTGTCTGTAAATAATCGTGTCAGCAGTGATCAACAGTATGAACACCTATCTACGAAAATGGACCTAAATTAAGAGAAGTTGACGGTTGGTTGAAGTCATCACTCTTATCACACGTTGGTTGGGAGTTTCTGCCACCCTTATTCCTCACTGCAGAAAGTCGTTACACCTGCAGGTCGGTACACTCCTTGTATGACTACAATGTTCCCTTGTTGTATTGTTTCAACCCGTGAAGATACCGACAGACAGACAGACAGACAAAATAGTTTATTTATGTGTCACGTGAATGTACATGTCAAAAATAGCAACGGTAAAAAAGACATAGAAAAATACAGACACCAGGCCAGATGGCCAATGAGACACACTAGACAATATGTGCATAAAATGTATAAAATATAAGATTAAAACATTAAGGAGTATCACACATATGAAAGACCTAAGGAAAAAGAAAGAAACTTTATAGCAATGATAACTTACGCCGATACATACGGCTAACTAAAGCGGCCAGTGGATTAACAATAATTTCTGTTTGTAAGAGGAGTGTAGCTTGTTCAGTGTTTGATAACTGAGCAAAATTTGGGTGTAAGATACTAGATTTTCTAAACAAATCATGCCGAAGATCAGAATAATGACAGCTAACTAAGAAATGGACTTCGTCTTCGACAGCCTGACTACTACAGTGACGACAAAGCCTGTCTGTAAGTGGCGTCGCAGGACGAGAAAATCTACCACGTTCTGTTTCTAATTGAAGTGTACCACAGCGAAGTTTACCTTGAACGATACAGTGCCATCTGGGCAGTATAGCAGTTATATATGGTTCTGGAGTAACAGTGTACTTAAACTGTCGTAGCTTATTACCGTTGGGATTACCCTGGTCATTCCACAATTCCCGTAGCCACTCATGATGATCTAACAACTGTATATGTTGAAATGACAAAGTCAATTCACTACTAGACATGTGTAGCAGGTCTTGTACTGGGAGTTGCAACGATTGTAATAAAGATGACACTGTGTTAGCCCATGATTTGGCTAAACGCCGTGACCAGCTGCTAATAACAGAAGGCAATCTATCAGGTGCCATACGGTGCAACTTAACCCAAAAACGCAATACTTCTGTTCTATGTTTTGACAAAGTACTAGTCCATCCCATATCACCCTAACTCTCAGGCTTTAAGACACAGGTGATACAGTTGCCATTGGTGATGCCTGGGATGTGGACTCTTCTGTCTACACGTCTTCCAGTCTGAAACTGTTAACACCTGCGATCTGTGTGTATACTGGCAGTGTATGAAATAAGGCCCGTCCGACCGCCCGAGACGGTCTAGATTTCTGACGGACGGTCTTAATTTACAGCTAGCCAGTCCGATGGTCCGGTAAAAGTTTTAAATGTTTAATACATCTGAGTAAATTCACTATATTTGGTCTGGTTAAATCCATTTTGGGCTGGTAACATTTCGAAGTTACCGGACCTGATGTCTGGCTGGACTTTTGGCTTGTTTCATACACTGATATATGCGCTTATTGGTCGTTTCTTTATATAAACCAAGACTCCCAGAAGTTCCGTTCTTATGAGTGAGTGAGTCTGTGAGTGAGTGAGTTTAGTTTTACGCCGCTTTTAGCAATATCACGACGGGGGACACCAGAAAATGGGCTTCACACATTGTACTCATGTGGGGAAAGTCTTAATGTCGACGTCAGATACAGCTGATTACACATTTCATTTTGGGGTGAAAACATTTAAAGTTATTGTTTGTCAACAAAATCCTGTCAAAATCCATTTCAGAATTCAATGTATATTTTTAAAACATTGTTAACAATGAATTATTTAATTCACTCATGTTTCAATTATTTGCCTTTTACAATGATCACCAGTTATAACTCTGTTAAATGTGTGACATATGATTGTGTACACTAATTTCACTAGAATAGGTTTTTCGTGACCGATTTATCAAGGAGAATGAGTGTTCCTTCTCAGTTAGTTTGTCAACAGTAATTAACCGAATCTTGAGAGGGAAACAAACAAACGGCTTTTGTGACAGGGGGATCAGTGATGCCATGCCATTGTGACTGGCTATAATGACCATTGCTTATCTGAAGCTGTTTTAATAGTTTATATGTTATCCATGTTAAAAGTACCGACATGGGTGAGTGAACGTTGGTTTATATATGGTGTGTGTGTGTGTGTGTGAGAGAGAGAGAGAGAGAGAGAGAGAGAGAGAGAGAGAGAGAGAGAGAGAGAGAGAGAGAGAGAATGTGTATGTCTGTTGAAAAGGGAGGCTTTATATGCACATATGCTATGTTTAAAGGGCCACTGATCCAGAGCAATTTCCGTGGACTGGTTGTTGCTTTTGTTATTTTTTTTCTCCAGTGAGTACCCGGATTATATCCCAGAATTCATGACTGGTTCGTTACCTTTTGCTGCGCCAACCTCATCCGCAATTGATAGTATAAGTATAGACTGATCAACGAAGATGAGATCTTTTTTACTCGATAATCTTATGTTGATTTTGTTGTAAAATTATGTAGACTTTGATGAATAATTTGGTTTCTTATAAAAAAATATTCACTTTGATAAAAATGCTGATTTTGATGTAAAATTTTGATTTCAGCGTAAATGGATGTAGAATTTTATTTAAGAAATCATTTAACCTTGAATTTGGTGAGAAGCCTGATATAATAGCATTGTTTTGAAAGTAAGGCTAACTAAATACATGGGGAGTCTTGGGGAGAGTAGTGAGCTTGGGTTCACTACTAGTCAATCTGAATGTTGTATTCAATGGCATTATATTTATATCAAATGAAAACATTTTTGAGTTTAACCATCTGCCAGTGGTAAAAAAATGTTAGGAATGAAATAACGAAGTCAATGTACGTCTTTATGTTTTGTCTTATAATCCTTATTAGTTTACTATCATATTTGTATGCATTTTGAAACTTAATAGAATGCACATGATCTGCTTATACTTAGTGAATTTATAACATGATTGTAATGTCTCGACATTTTATAGATTGCCAATGTGTATCATATTTCACA